AATGAATATCTGTAGCTCACCGCCCATTTCAGAGAATCTCTTTCACCGAGCAAATCGTTGAGACTCGGAACATGGGAAATGTTCAGCTAGGGACCCCCGAATTCCAAGTGGCTTATTTACAGATGAGAAAGTGGGGGCCAGGCGCAAGTAGCTGGTCATGGGCCGATTTCTAAGGCCAGGCCCAGTTCTTCTGGCATCAGAAATGCCTCCTTTTCCTTTTCTGTGACGAGTGGTCACATTCAGCATGTAACATTTGGCCCCAGGACAGCATGGAAATGTGGGACCCCTTGTGCCTGAAATATTCAGAATTTCAGATGGCGGCACAGAGCCTTCGAGAGAGCGCGGGCCCTTCTGACTGCAGGGCCCTGTGGGATGGCTTGGGTCACACGCCCACAAGGCCAGCCCTGGTCACATTTTCCATATTTGAAAAATGCATTTGGAAGGCCTCTCTGGATTTGGAATTAGCTAGTGAAAGAGTCATTCCAAGATGGTGAAGACAGATCTCCAGCTCAGCATTTTCTTGATTTCTGTGGGGACGGGTGGAAGGTGGATGGAGAATCGCCTTCAACGTGTTCTTTTAAATGGACAGTGGAGAAAAGGCACTCTCCGGGGCATAATAACAAAGTCAAACAACGGGGAACAACGGGGAGGGGGGAGGAGATCCCCGCGTTTGTTCCTTTACTCCCCCCCACAAAGCTCCCTGTAACTGTGGCAACCTGGGCTCCCCGGAAACCCCCCAACTGCCCAGGCCACCAGAGGGCTTCTCGGGGCTGTGCTTTCGCGGGGCAGAACTGGGGTTTCCTGTTCTCTTCAACTCGGAGACATTTTCCTGTGGTTTCCAGTTTGTCCCAGAAAAGGATGTCATTGTGCTAGCGGCTCAGCACACAGGCGGCCTGACGTGGAGTGACGAAGAGTTCTCTGGTGGCAGTGGAGTGGGTGTCCGTGTGTGACTGTTTGTGTGTTTCTTTGTGACTGTCTTCTCTGTGTGTCTGTGTGTTTGTCTCTCTCTGTCTGTGTGCCCGGGTGTATGTCTGTGTGTGTGTGTCTCTGTGTGTCTGTGTGTGAATGTGTCTCTGTGTGTGTGTCTCTGCCTCTGTGTGTGTCTGTGACTGTTGTGAATGTGTCTCTGTGTGTCTGTGACTCTGTGTGTGTGAACGTGTCTCTGTGACTGTGTGTGTGTGAATGTATGTGTGTGTGTGTTGGGGTGAAAGACTGCCTCTCTTAAGAGTGTCATGCTGGGGCGATGGGGAGGAGGGGTGGAGGCGGATTGAGCATATCCTTTTTGGAAGGGTGGGTGGGTGGGTGGCTAGGGGGGCCTCCTGCCTCTGGGGGGCGGGGGGAGCCAAATTAAAAAGAAATGGGGGGGGGGAAGAAAAAGAAATGGGACTGACTGGCGTGGCATTTCCTGGCCTGGGGCCTGGGGGAAGGAAGGCTGTGGAATTTATTTAGAAAGCTTTCAAACCAGCTGGTTTTTTTTTTTTTTTTACAATTCTGGCCTGTTGCTCTTGTTCTTTTCAGAATTATAAGCATGTTTATGTGGCTGTTTGATCCAAAAGCAGTGTTCCCAAGAGGCAGTCCTGAAGTCCCAGAAAGTAGGATGTGACTACAAGAAAGATGGTGCGCGGTCGATAAAGGGGGGCCCCAGGCGTCAGTTTCCAGAGCGAGCCCCTCAGGCCCTTCCTTCCTCTTGAGGTCACGGAAAGAAGCCCCCCCCGCCCCTAACACCTGCGCATTGGCTCTTGACGACACCGCTGCTGGCCGCGTGTCTTCACTTCTGGAGGAGAGAGGCAGTGGTTTTGAGGAGAGAAGTTCCGCCTCTCGGCTGAGTCATTGCCTCCCAGTGGTTTGGCCCAAACTATGTGCACAGTTCAGGGCACCCCGAGACTTTCTTTCCCTCCCAGAGCACTCCGTGTGCAGCCATGGCAGAGGGTGCTGTTCTAGGCTTTCTGTGTTTTCTGCCCTTGTGGGTTTTTCTGTGACTCAGTTTTCATAAATAAACGTGTAGGCAGCTCTGGGTCTGCCTTTCCTGAGACAGGAAGGGACAGCGCGTCCTTGACGGTCAACACACATCTAATTACCGCAGAGCTCCGAGGCCCTGCTGCCCGGCTGCAGTCTCCCCGAGCCCAGGTTGTGCCCGAAGCAGATGTGGGGGTTCTTGGGGCCAGCCGGGAGGGAACGTCAGCCGACTCCGGGGTGAGCCTGGTCAAGAAGTGTCCTGGGGCTGGTGTTTGTGGCCTGTCTTCCCTCCTCCTCCTGTATTTCTGTGCCTGTGTGTCTGAGGAAACTGGCAATATACCCTAACTACTTTTCACAGTTGTTCTCATGTTTAAACCCTGAACCTGTTTTCACCAAGATGTCCTGTGGTCTTGTTAACCCTTCCCCTCCTGCTTAACCCGCCTCTGTAGACGTGTGTGAGGACCCTGGTTTCCTCCACCCACACACAGGGGCCTCCTGAGGTTTGCTGCTTGCTTCTTTTACAGACCTGCTTCATCTACCCTTTCTAGGCTTGGACCTTTCCTCTCTCTGTAACCTTCCATGGCTCCCACTGCTCCATAGCATTGCTGTCCTGTAGAACCAGAAAGTGAGCCACATAGGTAATTCAAAATTTTTTAGCAGCCGGCTTTTAAAAAGTGAAAAGTAACACGTGGAGTGAATTTTAACAGCATGTTACTTAACTGCATCTATCTAAAATATTATCATTTCAACATACAGTCAATATAAAAAAATTATGAATGAGATATTTCACATCGATGTCTTAAAAAGTTTTTGAAGGCCAGCCCTGGTGGCCTAGTGGTTAAGTTCAGCTCGCTCTGCTTCGGTGGCCTACGTTTGCTTCCTGGGCATGGACCTACACTGCTCTGTTAGCGCCCATGCTGTGCTGGCAGCCCACATACTTAAAAAAAATAGAGGAAGATTGGCACGGATATTAGCTCAGGGCAAAGCTTCCTGAGGAAAAAAAAAAAAAGTTTTTGAAAGCCAGGGTGTATTTTATATTGACATCATATCCTAAATTGGGTGTTAAAATTTTATCAAAAACATTTGATCTCGATTCAGAGTTCATTAAATTTGCTGTTGAAAAAGTAGATTCACATACCCAAGGTGTCCCACGCTTACATAAAAGTTTTCCAGTAATTAAGTTGTGTATTAGATTTTAAATTTTAATTGCCTAAACTTAAATATGACTTAAAAACTTACTTTCTCAGTCACACTAGCCACATTTCAAGTGTTCAGCAGCCTCTTGTGGCTGCTGGTGTGACCATATTGGACAGCCCAGATGGAGAAGATTTCCATCCTTCCAGAAAGTTCCATTGGACAGCACAGGCTTATAAAGTCCAAATACCTCCAAAGGACTTTCAGAATTTTCTGGAAGCTGGCCCCAACCTATCTAGCTTTATTTATTGACTTTGTTTTACACATGTTCACTTTCCCATGCCTCTTTTTCCACTTAGAAATGCCTTTTTCTCTCTTCCCCGGGAGAAATCTCCTCTTTCGAGCTCGGCTTAAAGGCAGAGCTTCCTGAAGGATTCTCCACTTCTCCCCACAGCAGAATTAATGACTGCCTCTGCCTCCCACGGGTTCTAGAAGCCGAGGCAGAATGCGTGGGAAGAGGCGCAGGCTGGTCGGAGCCCCCGGACCGTGGCTCGCTGCCCTCGCAACTCGTTTCCTCACTTCTCCTGGGACAGGTTTGAATGGATCTTCTAACGCAGTCTTAGCCCTGCCCCGCTGGAAAAACAGAGCCGCACAAAGAAGGGCACTGTGTCCTCTCCAGCTGCCCTGGGGCTGCTGCACATGGGCTTCAGACAGGAACACAGCCCGGGTGCGGGAGATGTAATCCTAGGCGGGCATCAGCTCCGTTGGGGAAAAAACCCTTTCTCTGCCCTCACAAAAGGAAACATGTGCCTGGCTGCTCTCATGCTCAGTTTTCAACATGGAAACTGGTGTGTGTGTGTGTGTGTGTGTGTGTGTGTGCGCGCTTTTTAAAAAAATATAACATACATACAGAGAAGTGCACACGTCCTCATTGTACAACTCGAATTTTCGCAAAGCGAACGTGTCCATGCAGCCAGCCCCCAGATGAAGAGAGAGAACATGAGCAGCCCCCCAGAAGACCCTCCTTCCGCCCCCTTCCAGCCTCTCCTCCGCCTTCCAGCCTCTCCTCCGCCTCCCAAGAGTAACCACTTTCCGGCTTCTAGGCCCATGCTTCGTTTTGCCTGTTTCTGGACTTTATATAAATGGCATCATTTACGGTGAGCTTTTTCGGCGTCTGGCTTCTCTCGCTTGGCACTGTAATTGCGATAGTTCCTGGTCGGGTTTTGAATGCCCTTGTGTTTTCCGTCCCCCTGAACATGATTAGTGAGACCACAGCAGTTACAAAGAAACGAGAAAAAACACTGGATGTGAAAGTTGGGTCGCCTTTGGGCAATGGTTTTAAGTGCGAAGAAACTTCTGCTGGAATTTGGCTGATGTTTGCCCTTTGAGATTGTCTCGGTTTTGGTGATTTTTGGTTGTCATTATTTACCTTTTATCTTTATTTAGGGAATCCCTTGTTAAGGTGACAATTCTTGGGTCTCCAAGGAACATTAACCCCCATTCCGACTTTTGAACAAGGCTGGACATGAGTCATTTCCTCAGATTTTCTGGTTGTCAGGTGGAAAATTTAAGATTAGAGTGGAAAAGGAGCCGGCCCTGTGGCTTAGTGGTTAAGTTTGGCACACTCCACTTCCGTGGCCCGGGTTCGATTCCTGGGTGTGGAGCTACACCACTTGTCAGCCGTGCTGTAGTGGTGACCCACATACAAAATAGAGGAAGATTGGCATGGATGTTAGCTCAGTGACATCTTCCTCAAGTAAAAAGAGGAAGATTGGCGACAGATGTTGGCTCAGGGCCAATCTTCCTTGGGGGCGAGGGGGCGGGGTGCGGGAAGGCGGGAAATGATTAGAGTGGAAAAGAGAGAAATGTCCATTGAGTGTCTGATCTGGTCTCTTCTGGTTTTGCTGTAGGTAAAATGTCTGGTCCAGGATACTACCAGGCGGCCGCTGGGCCTTCCTCGGTGCCAACTGCGCCCCCGTCCTATGAAGAGACAGTGGGCGTTAACAGTTACTTCCCCACGCCTCCAGCCCCCGCGCCTGGGCCAACCACGGGGCTCGTGACGGGCCCAGATGGGAAGGGCATGAATCCACCTGCGTACTATACCCAGCCAGTGCCCGTCCCCAACGCCAACGCAAGTACGTGGGGTCTCCCTGGTCCCCCTACCGCCCTGACCTTGGGTACTCCATGAGAATGAAGAGAGTGACCAGGGTGGCTCTGCCTAAGGGTCTGAGCCAAGTGCCAGCCAGTCCAACTTGACCCTTTATCCTGAAATTTCGCATGCAGGCTAGGTTCCGTATCAGTGAGGCCCGTGGCTTTTCCACAATAAGGAACGGTTTACGAGCCTTCCCAAGTCTGCTGTAAGCCCATCCTTGGGCTCTTACCACAGAGGGACAACCAGCTATCCCGGAGAAATTTGGGAAGAGGAGTTTACTTTTAAGGGCCCCCCCTTCCTGCTGAGGTTGGTGGGAGAGCTCTGCGCGAGGCCAGGGCTGGAGGAGGAGAGGGAGAAGAAATAGCCCTGAGTGAGGGAGCCCGCCCAGCCCACCAGCACCCTTCGCGCACGGTGCTCCCCTGCCTCCCAGCAACCTCTTCACGACCTTGCCCCTGGGTACCTCCTGCTGCCCAGGTGTGCCCAGTATCACCAGCAGCCCGGGAGGAAATCCCCAGCTCAGAGCGGGGGGGGGGGGGGGTGCCCGTGAGTCAGGCCGCCTGGGTCACCCACCCTCCTCTGCATCAGTCTCCCCAGCTGTAAAATAGTGCTGCTCCAGTACCCCATCAGGGGGTGGTTAAGATTACATAAAGCCCTCTGAGTCACCATTTGATAAAAGTGAACTAAAGTTGTCATTGTGCTCAGCTAACTGTCCCCCCTTGAGATGGAGGAGGACCAGGTAATGACTTCAGACTGTTTCAGATCACGCTCCGATCAATACATAACTCATTCTTGCACTCAAAAAAGACTTAGTAAAATTTACATGTAAGAGCTAAAGTATGCAATACTGCTTTTCTAGAAGGTCTTTCTAGGAGTATGAAGGTCACTTAGCTCTGGGCAGTGGGTAACTTCCCCTAATGCATAGATTATAGAAATGGCATTCCAACAATGTGGAAAGGAACAGAAGGAAGTCACTTTGACAGAAATATGAGGTTAATCAACTTTGCCAAAAACATAAAGAACAGCCTGAACTGGAAGGGCTTCCTGATTTACATCACTCTAGATTCCCTTCTGGTGATTGTGAATGTCTGTACATGTTTTCACTTTTTAGTGTGATTTTATGTGCTCATTTCATGTATCGACACGGCTCCCCGGCTTGTCTTAAAGAACTGGGTCCGTGTTCCTTGGCCGGGTAAACTCCAGCCTTATCTCTGGGTGTAGGAGTTCATGAAGGAGCCCCGTGTGAAAAGAGGGAATTGTTCATCACGGTTCACTCTGTACCAGGCACCACGTGGGGTTCTTTACCACCCTTATCTCGTTTAATCCTGGCAACAACTCTGTTCCTTCCATTTTTTAAGTAACAGCTTTTTTGAGAGAGAATTCTCATACCGTAGAGTTCACTCTTGTAAATGATATATGATTCACTGGTTTTAGTATATTCACAGAGTTGTGCAGCCATCAGCACTAATTCCAGAACATTTCCATCAACCCAGAAAGAAACCCTGTACCTGTTAGTGTCACTTCCCATACCCCCTCCCCCAGCCCCTGCAACCACTAATCTATGGATGAAGAAAATTGAGGCCGAAACCCATCACATCGCTGTTTCTGAAATTACCACCTTTGTAGAACCACTCAGGGAGCTTAAAAAGCAGTTTGGGGACCCTGCCCCAGACCTGCCGGATCAGACTGTCTTGGGGGCAGGGCCCAGGACTCTGCATTCTCAGTCGGTTCCCTCCGTGATTGCACGGAGAGTCGAGTTTGAAAGCCTGGTTTAGCTGAGCCAAAGTCCTCTTCCAGGAGCACACGGTCTTTTCCCATCTCGTATGTGGAGGTTTTGCGAGCCCCTCAACTGATAATTCTGGAAATCTGCCACTGCTTCTTCTCGTGTTGTCATTTTTCTCCCCACCCCAACTTTTGTTTTTTATAAAATACACATGACATAAAATTTATCATTGTCAAGCATTTCTTTTTTTTGTGTGAGGAAGACCAGCCTTGAGCTAACACCCGATACCAATCCTCCTCTTTTTGCTGAGGAAGACTGGCCCTGGGCTAACATCCATGCCCATCTTCCTCCACTTTATATGGGACGCCGCCACAGCATGGCTTAGCGAGCGGTGCGTCGGTGCGCGCCCAGGATGCGAACTGGTGAACCCTGGGCCGCCGCAGCAGAGCGTGTGCACTGAACCGCTGCGCCACTGGGCCGGCCCCATCAAGCATTTCTAAGTGTACAGTTCAGTGGCATTAAGTACGTTCACACTGTCATGCAACCATCACCACCATCTGTTTCCAGAACTTTTTCATCTTGCAAAACTGAAACTCCATACCCATTAAACACTAACTCCCCACCCCCTCCCGCCGGCCCCTGGCAGCCGCCATTCCACTTGGTCTCTGTGACTTTGACTCCTCTAGGTGCCTCATACGTGGAATCATACAGTGTTTGTCCTTTTGTCACTGCGTTATTTCACTTAGCATAATGTCCTCAAGGTTCCTCCACATTGTGGCAGGTGTCAGAATTTCCTTCCATTTTAAGACTGAATAATATTCCATCGTGGGTAAGGGTGGACCACATTTTGCTCATCCATTTATCCATCGATGGATACTTGGGTTGCTTTCACCTTTTGGCTCTTGTGAATAATGCTGCTGTGAACGTGGATGTGCAAACATCCGTGGAGACCCTGCCTCCGCCTTTCTGCTATCTAATGAGTGTTTTCCTCGTTTGCTGATCAGCCTGTGTCTGGTGTTCTTCTTTCCATCAGTTGCCGTGCAGACGGTCTACGTGCAGCAGCCTGTCTCCTTTTTTGACCGCCCAGTCCAGATGTGTTGTCCTTCCTGCAACAAGATGATCGTAACTCATCTGTCCTATAACGCCGGTGCCCTCACCTGGCTCTCCTGCGGGAGCCTGTGCCTGCTGGGGTAAGTCCGTGGTCCACTCGGCCCCCGGGCTCTCTCACCTCCCTCTCTTGTAGGATTTCTCAACTGCAGCACATACTTCTGTGTTGTGGGGGGCCTTCCTGTGCACTGTAGGATGTTGAGCAGCATCCCTGGCCTCTGCTTACTAGATGCCAGCAGCACCCCTTCCCCTACTGTTCTAACCAGAAATCGTCCTCCTGGAGCATATCAGGGCCTGGATGCCACTGTCCCAGCCATCGTTTCTCCTTGCTCGTCTGCTCAGACCACTCCCTGCGTGTAGGGACACGCACGGCAGCCGCGTGCATCTGTGTAGGCTGAGGCTGTCAGGGATTTCTTTTGCTTCTAGAATTTCATGACCTAAATAATAATGTTTGCCTGACTCTGAGATAAGCTTTAAATAGTCCGTACATTAAAATACTTTATAGTCATCTCTTCAAAACTTCTTATCTTTTTATGACCTCAAGTATTTTTCCCGTTGCCCGTACAAGGAGAGTGTGTAAATATTTATGTCTGCACCAAGGGTATTATATTGAGAGAGAGAGGAGTTTCTGTACTGGGAGCAATTTGAAGAAACACAATTCAGTTTTTTTCCCCAAACGGACAGAGGGCATCCTTCTTCCTGGCTGTGAGTCACTCCGTGAAACCACAGGCCCTCTGTTTTCTTCCTTGAAGGAAACGGTGTTTGTGCGTTTCTTTTCAGGAGTGCTTATCTCTTGTACAACAGCTGGCTCGTTCCTTATCTCCTGCTTGTGACTCAGGTCGGGCAAGAACGGTATTTCTCTTCCTAATTTCCAAGAGAGGCTCAGAGCCCCAGAGAGCTTGATTAACTTCCTTGAGGACACGTGTTCAGGGGGCAAGAAATGAGACCGAACAGGTTTCTTGGCTCCCGATTCCCTGTCCTGTCCAGGGGACTCCACTGATGGCTGTCATCTTCACTCCTCGGACAGAAAAAGCTAAATATTTGCCTTTGGACATTTATATTAAAACTAATTTTTATCTTTGAAATCAGGGAAAGACAGAATGGAAATGTCTACTGAGTGTCAGCCTCTGCTGATCTGGCTTCCAAATTGAGGCAGCTTTTCTGTCCCTCCCTCCTTTTTCTTCCTTAAATATAGTACCGTGGGTTCAAATCCTGCCTCCTGCTGCTGTGTGACTGTGGGCAAGTGGGTTCATCTCTCTGTGCTCCAGTTTCCTGGTCTGTAAACTGGGGGTTATAATGCCCACCTTGGGGGGTTGTTGGGGATAAAATAAGTCAGTGTGTGTGCAGTGCTTCATGGAGCCATGTCTGCCCATGTAGGCTGTAGATTAGGAATCTCTCTAAATGGCCTGGCTGCCCTATTTGAACTCGGGGAAGCTTACGCAATAGGAGGAAATTTCTCTCACGAGGTCGTTTCCTCATCAGGGTATTTCCTGATTCTGCTTTGTGTAAATCAGTGTCTTCCTGTAAAATGTTGTTTTTTAACTACGTTTTTGACAAATGTTGCTTGTAAGGCTGTGTGGTGTTTTCTGACACCAGCCAGCTCTCCAGCGCCAGCTGGGTGTCCAGTGATTCAGTTCAGTCTGACACTCACTACCTGGAGTTAGCACAGACCCCACAGCTTAAGGGCTCAGTCCCACAGACTGCCCCCACTTCAGAAGCCAGTCGCAAGTCTTGGGCCACCTTCACTTCTGACCAACCAGCTGTAATTCGGAGGTCCTGCTATCCCCTCTTCAGGTTCCGTAATTTGCTAGAACAGCTCACAGGACTCAGGAAGGCATTTTATTTACGTTTACCTGGCTTATCACCAAGGATCAGATGAACTGCTAGATGAAGGAGGACCTAGGGCAAGGTCCAGAAAGGTCTCGAGTGCAGGAGCTTCTGTTCTCCTGGAGTTGGGGTGTGCCACCTTCCTGGCACATGGATGCATTCACCAACCCAGAAGCTCTCCAGATTTAGTTGTTCAAGAGTTCTACCCAGCCCCCTTCTGCTCCCTGGGGGTCTGTGGTTGGGGCTGAAAGTTCCAACCCTCTAACCACTTGGTCTTTCTGGTGGCCAGCCCTATCCTGAGGCTACCTAGGGACTCTACCCTAGTCACCTCATTAGCATAAACTCAGATGTGATGGTCAGGAGCTTGTTATGAGTAACAGAAGACACTCCTGTCACTCCAGAAATGCTGAGGGTTTGGAGCTCTGTGCCAGGAACCAAGGACAAAGACCAAATATTCTTTCTTATCCTGCAGACTGTAGGAAGGTCCTGCCTGTGGGTGCTGATGGTGGATGCCGTAGGCTAAGAGATGTTATTTGGGGAGCTTTATTTGGTTGTTGCTGTAAGAAGCAGCCTACATATGGAAAAGTGATCAGTCTAAGACAGGTCGGCAAACTATAGCCCGGGGGCCAAATTAGCCCATCTTCAGTTTCATTGGAACATATCATGCCGTTTGTTTATGGATTATCTATGGCTGCCTTCAAGCTACAACTGCAGATCAGGGCCCGTGGAGCCTAAAATATGTCCTCTCTGGCCCTTTACAAAAGAAGCTCACCCAATCTAAGACTTTGAAAGATGCTCAAAGGACCCAAGATTTGAGAATACACCCAGGACGGCCTGTCTGTGGGAGCAGCCCTGGCGTTGGTTGGTTTGTCAGTTTCCTAGGGCTGCTGTAACAAATTGTCACAAACCTGGTGCCTTAAGACAACAGAAATTGATTCTCTCACAATTCTGGGGGCCAGCCGTGCACAATCAAGGTGCCCCCGAAGGCTCTGCGGGAGACTCCTTCCCGGCCTCTTCCAGCTTCTGCTGGTCCGGGCCTTCCTGGGCTTGTGGCCACATCACCCCAGGCTCTCTCTCTGTCTTCACATGGCCTTTGTCCCTCCCTGCACTTCTGTGTGTCCCCTCCCCTTCTTGTAAGGGCACCAGTCATTGAGTTTAGGGAGCCCACCTGGATAATCCAGGATGATCCCATCTTAAGATTCTTAGTTAGATCTGCAAAGGCTTTTTTTCCAAATAAGGTCGCATTCGTCCGGGGGTGAGGACGTCCCACGTATCTTTTTGGTGGCCACCGTCCAGACTACTACAGTGGGTGACACGCTCTGCGTGTGCCTGTTTCTGTTCTTGCAGGTGTGTGGCGGGCTGCTGCTTCATCCCCTTCTGCGTGGACGCCCTGCAGGACGTGGACCACTACTGTCCCAACTGCAAAGCTCTCCTGGGCACCTACAAGCGCTTGTAGGACTCGGCCAGACCTGGAGGGAGCCGTGTGCTGCAGAAAGTCCTTTCCGACTCTCACCCAGCCCCAGCCCTGGCGGAGGGTCCACCTTGGTGGTCTCACCCCTCCCGGGGCTCCACCTCCGTGTCTTCTTTTTGGGGGAAAATACCGCAAAAGTAACACGTCTTCAAACCCCAGAAATTGCTGCTTGGAGTCGTGCACAGGACATGCAAAGACGTTCACCTCGAGGGCTGGTTCAAGGCTTTCCTGCCCACCGTGACCCCAAGTCATCCCATTTCACTGTGACCGTTGCCCCGTCTGAATATCCTCTGGTGATTTGCCATTGGCGGGCTGCTTTTCTTGCCTTGGTGGGCCTTTCTGGTGGTAGTCTCAAACTGAGAAGCCATGAGTTGCCTTATTTTAGAGACTGTTCTGGCCCAAATATGGCTGAACCAGCCTATAGTGCCTACCATTGCATCTGTCTGCTCCCACTTCTGATGACAAAACTCTTGCCTTATAGACTAAGGCCTTGGTTCTCAGATTCTGTAATTGCGGTCTCTTCATTAGCACACAGATTCACTTTAATTTCTTAATTCATTTTAAGTACAAGGAGGGGCTATTCACACCCACCAGACACATATCCACGAGGTCATAAACGCATGCTAGAAATACCGGGCTGGATCTTATCATTGGTCTGCCTTCCCTCGGTTCTTTGAACCAGATCCTCAGCCACTTTCCATGAAGTGCTTTTTTCTCGGAATTGTTTGTATTAACAGTTTTTATGACCTCCTTTTGGTCTTAAACACCTTTGAACATAATTTTGAAAGGAAGGATTTATAGAACCATCTTCCCTAACCGTATGACTGGCATCATTTTCCCATCTGCCAATGCATTCTCACATTTTTTTTTCTTAACAGAAAAAGTAATGGACCATTTCATCCCCTGCCTTTCCTTGGGTTTAGTTTGGTTCTTAAGAACCTCTAGATGGAACTGTTAAAGTGGGGCCCCTTTGGGGTTCCCGGTGGGGTGTTTGAGAACACAGGAGAAAGGATGATCAAGCATGTGTGGGTACCACGGTGCTGAGATGGGGACTTGGACTGGTCAAAGGAATCTGGAGTCTGATTTTGTTTTTCTGAAATACAGTTTGTTGTATAACATCGGAAGACATGATTTCCAGGACTCAAACAGCAAACCAGAGTTCTTGGTTAGCTGCTGCATCATCTTTGAAATCAAGACAAAACCGTGCTTGACTTTCAGGAGCTCCTGTTTTGATGATATATAGGCACAGGGAATGCATGTGAATAGTATTATGTGGAAATCAACCTAGACCTGGAATGAAAATCTGTATATTGGTTGAAAATTATAGTCGTAACCGTTGATTCAGCTTATTCATTTGATGTTTTGAAAGTTCCAGTAATTATTTTTGCAACAAATATGGATACTACATAGTACTTTGGTGTTATCTGCTTTTAAAAAATAAAGTCTTTGGTTCACTCAGTGAACTACTTATCAGTTTTTACAGTGTGAAGAAAAGTCTCGTGTTGTGTTTTTAGCCCTTGCTACAAAGAGCCTTTATTTGCTCCATCACGGTAGAAAATCCTTCGTGATAAAAACTTCAGACTTGCTGAATATCCCGTGCTGTCAAGATGACCGATGTTGAGCTGGGTGGATTATTGCTAGCGAGTCAGATTCCAACACTGGGTGATTGGAACCCAATGGGCGTCATCGATGGCAGCAAGCCATAGCTTTCAAGTTTTAATAACATGCACAGAAGAAAGCCGTCCTCATTCATTCTCCGAACAAAACAGGCTTTGTTAATTGATAGGGTGGTTGTGAGATGCTAGAAGGAGGGCATTGTAACTTGCCAGGAATATGAATGTCCTCCCTTTTCTTACCTGGTGATATCGCTTCATTTTGGAAGGTGTGAGAAAATTAAAAAATCTCTTGGTGTGGCTTACATTGTCAATTAAATCCTAACTTATGGTCTGGAAAAATTGCTGCTCAGCCCATCCTGATCATGTGTTTTTCTTTCATTTGACAAAATTGAAGGCCATGCATATTTAGCAGTTTTGCTCACATCATGGTATAGAAATGATTTCAAGCTGTTATTCATTACATATGCAGAGTCTTCAAAACGAGAGCCCTATTTCAAGGATGGTAAAATATATGTTCTGTGAAACTTTAAAAACGACCTCAGATGCCTGGAGTATGAAACATTCATTGGACATTCCATTTTATTGTTCACAGTATGGGCTTCCTCATATTTTTACAAATTAAAAGGCTCTTTTGTTCTGCCGCTGTTTGCTGAAGGGTTTAGAGTTAGTTTGTTGCAAATACTGAATCACATTCAATTAATGAAAGAGCTTTATGTCTACTTGGACCTCAAAGAAGAATTTTACCAGTTTCAAACCCCAAATGGCTACATCTCTTGTATGTGTTCGCCCGTCCGGGTGAGGTGGGGTGACGTGGCCTGATACGTAAGTGTTGGTTTGTGTCTTGTTAACCACAAGTATTAAGTTCTTGCATCTATTTAAGCCAACATGAGCACGTGACTGATTCCTGGCTGACCACAGCATCACCCACAAACATGTTTTCTCGGGGACAACTGGCTTTCCAGTTGCTACCGAGAACACTTCTCTTGGTCACTGAACTATTTATAAATGTGGCTTCATACATTCACACACAGTTTGGCCTCGGTTTTCTCCCCAGGGACAGCCTCTCATGTCCGGGATGTTAAAATCCTTCTCTGACTTTCTGGGCTCAACGAGTTCTGCTAGGAGTAAATGTAGATGTTGGAATTTTACTTGGAAAATTCCGATTTGCACGTTGGATCCTATTAAAGTTATTTCCTGCATTTACGACTCACGTGTTTACAATGAGTTGTCTGTTCTTTATAGACACGTGAGTGAATTGAAAGTGGATCCAGCAAGGATGATAAGAGAGAGAAACCAGGAGATTTTTTTTTTAGTCTAAGAATTTTAAGGAAACAAGATTCTGAGGCTAACAAAGATTTAAAAAAAAAAACAAAAAACAGTTCCCGGCCAAGTATACAGTCTAGTGCATTTAACTGTTTCGTGACTGTTCTTTGCAGTATTAGGAAAATTTGCACATTGAAGTACCTTTTTTTCCCTTTTAAAGAAACTATTATTTAGAGCAGTTTTAGGTTCACAGCAAAATTGAGCAGCAAGTCCCGAGATCTCGCATATATCCCGCACATGCACGACCACCTATTATCAACATCCCCCAACGCATGGTACATTTGTTACAATCGAGGAACCTACATTGACACATCGTCACCCAAAGTCCATGGTTTGCGTTAGGGGTCACTCTTGGTGTTGTACGTTGTGTGGGTTTGGACAAATGTATAATGACGTGTGTCTACTATTTTAGTATCGTACAGGGTAGTTTCACTGCCCTAAAAATCCTCTGTGCTCTGCTAATTCATCCTCCTCTCCTTCCTAACCCTTGGCAACCACTGATCTTTTTGCTGTCTCCATAGTTTTGCCCTTTCCAGAATGTCACATAGTTGCAGTCGTGCAGTATATAGCTTTTTCAGACTGGCTTTTTTCGCTTAGTAATATGCATTTACGGTTTGTCCATGTCTGCTCATGGCTTGATAGCTCATTTCTTTTTGTCGCTGAATAACATTCCGCTGTCTGGATGCCCCACACATGTGAGTACCCTTAAAGCTCTTGGTATTGCAGTGTCTCAGGTGATCTTGTCCCTGGTTACCCAAATGGGCAAAATCAATTTAACGGGTGTGTCTGACAGCACAGGGTCACCATAGAGCAGAGTATCGTTTGTGAAACCTGTGGTTATATAGTTGTGTGTTTGTCTAAGGGGGTCACAGTGCAAAGTCAGTGCCAAGGGCAACAGCTGAGAGCCTCTGCTCTGGCATGTCTTTGGTTTTAGTGTTATTTATCATTGATTGACTCCTGCTGTGTTAGAGGCGTTGTGCAGCTGGGGCACCAAACACACCCCTGCCCGGGAGGAGTGAGCAGTGGGCCCAGACTGCCCTGCCGACATTTCTAGTGCCTTTTTTTTTTAAGCTAAAATTCACCTAACATTAAAGTGTAGAATTCAGTGACGTTTAGCATATTCACGCTGTTGTATAACCATCACCTCTCTTGAGTTCCAGGACGTTTTCATCAGCTCAACATAAAACTCCAGACCCATTAAGCAGTCACTCCCCTCCCCTCCTTCCCCAGCACCTGGCAGCCACCAATTTGCCTCTGTTTCTTTGGATTTACTGATGTTTCATATAAATGGAATCATATAATATGTGACATTTTGTGTCTGGCTTCTTTCACTTTGCATCATGTTTTCGAGGTTCATCCATATTGTAGTGTTTTGTTCCTTTTAGTGGCTGAGTAATATTCCGTTATATGTTTATACCGTATTTTGTTTATCCCTTCATCCACTGATGGACATTTGGGTTGTTTCCACCTTTTGGCGATTGTGAATAATGCTGCTGTAAACATTTATTTACAGGTTTTTGTGTGGACGTATGTTTTCCGTTCTCTTGGGTGTAGACCTAGGAATGGAACTTCTGGGTCTTAATGGTAATTCAGTTTAACTTTTTTTTTTTTTTGAGAAAGATTGGCCCTGAGCTAACATCTGTTGCCAATCTTCCTCCTTTGTTCCTTTTTTCTCCCCAAAGCCCCAGTAGATTGTTGTGTGTCTTAGTTGTACATCCTTCTAGTTGCTCTATGTGGGATGGCACCTCAGCATGGCTTGATGAGTGGTGTGTAGGTCCACACCTAGGATCAGAACTGGCGCACCCCGGCCCACCGCAGTGAAGCACTCGAACTTAACCGCTATGCCACTGGGACAGCCCGTCTGTTTAACTTTTTGAGGAACCACCTGGTGGCTTCTTAAAGAAATATTTCCTATTTCAAAGCCACGTCTAGCAAGGGCTACCCATTTGGAACTGCCCTGGCGTGGAGAACTTTGTCATCCTCTGCAGTGGGAACCGTTTGGAGCAGCCTGGTGGCAACAGAGCTGGATTCGGAGCAAGAAGATCTGCGCCCCGGGCTGCCCTGCCTCAGCTCCTCGACTGCTCTGAACCCCATTCAGTCCTTCTGAGGTTCCCCCTGTGCCTGAAAAATGAGGTGGGGTGGCTGCTGCCCTCCACGTGGACCCTCTGTGTGGAAGGTGCTGTGAACTCTAAAATAGAGTCCACAGGTGTTCAACTGTCGTTCCTCTGTTGACTTGTGTGCTGATCTTGGGATACGGCAGTGTTGGGGGGATGCTCTTCCCTGCCTTGTGGAATTGATGGTGGAGGGGGAGAGAGAGACCTCAAATGAGAAAACCCAACATGACAGACGGTACAAACCAGGAGGGAGAAGTGCAGAGAAACAGTGGATTATAGTGATTGTATTTTGGTGGGGGGGCACCTCATCCTCTAAAATGATCCAG